GTGGCGCCCAGCACCTTTTCATGTAGCCGCTGGGCGCCTGTGTGTCTGTCTGTCCCTCTGTCCGTTCCTTGCTTGGGCTGTTTTCTCGTTAAGCAGTAGAGGACCTTACGTGCTTCGAATTTTAAGCCCTTGCCAGATGCATGATTTGCAGTTTCTCCTGTTCTGTGGGTTCTCTTTTCCTGTTGCTGATGTTTTCTTCTGCTATATAGAAAGGAGCTTTATAGTTTGACCATCCCAGCTGTTCGTTTTTCTTTTTGTTGCTCGAGCTGTTGATGTCATCTCCAAAAGCCGCGGCCTCGTTGGTCTCAGCTAGCAGTGACGCAGCCAGAATGATGCTTCCGAGCTGGAAGTAAGCCCTGCGTCGGTTGCAGGTGGCTTTCCCTTACTCGCATGTCCCGAGGTCCGGCTCCCGCCTTCCTGGGGCTGTCACAGCCGTGTCAGGCGTCGGCCTGTGCTCGAAGCGCCCTTCACCTGGAGCGAAGGCAAGGCTCTCGTGGACTCCTTCCAGCACCCCGGGCCCACGCTCCTCCCAGTTCTTCCGGCTCTCCCGGTTCCGTCTGTGTCTTTGGAGTGCCCCGGGCTTCCCCAGGGAGGCCCGCCTCGCCCGGCCGCTCTGTCTGTGGGCGCCGGCCCCCAGCACGGTTCTCTACTGCCGGGCCCCTTATCGTGGTGTTTGCTTCCTGTGTACACGGGACCTGAGCCCCGGGCTGCAGGGTCTGGTCTCGCAGGTTTGCCTGCACTTGACAGGAAAGGAAGGACTAGAGCCGGAGGCGGGTCGGGCCTGGCCTGGCGGCCGAGGGAGGCTCGTAGCACAGACAGGGTGGCGGGCCCGTCAGCGGGATGACATGTGTGTGTGAGGCCCTGTGGGGTCTGTCACGGGACGATGACATCTGTGGGTCTAGGGGGGGGGCGGGCCCCCCAGCTTCCCAGTGTTTCTTGTCGCCCAGAGCGCACCTGCTGTGGAAGGGGTGTCCCGGGCCGAGCACCCGTGAAGCGCAGGCTGTGGGGGCAGCATTGCTGTTACGGAAAGGCTCTGCCTGCGCGGGCTGCCTGTGCGGGCCCCGGCCGGCGGGGGCGGGAGCCCGTGGGCCCAGTGTGCGCTGGGGCTGACAGGCCCGTGGGCGGGGGCTGCTGTTCCTAGGGCGTGAGCGCCCAGGTGTGTCCCCAGTGCTGGGTCTCCCACAGGGCTGGCTCTCAGGGACCCAGAGGAGAGCCACCATGGGAGACTGTCGCCTGCCATCACTGCCGGCCAGGGAGCCCAGGGAGCCCCTGCCTGCTTCAGCTGCGTGGCCTCAGCTCACACTCGCCAGCCTCGGTCCCCTCTGTGACGCCCACTTGATCAGGATGGAGAAAGGCTGGCCGAGCTAGTGCCCACGAATGTCTGGCGGACCCCTCGGGACTCGGCCGGCCCTGGTGCCTGCTGTGCCGGGTGACCCTCCTGTGTGCTGTGAGCCACCGGCGTGTCGCTCCGGGCCGCCCCTGGGCTGCTCCCCGCCCGCTTCTGCAGCCGCGTGCCTCCCTTGCCCCCTGCCGTGGCACGGGCTGGCTGGGGTCCTACCCCGGGAGCGGGGCATTCCGCCTCTCGCCCAGAGGGCCATCCATCTGAAAGGGTGTTGCAACATTCTTATATCAAATGAGTTTCTTTTGGGGGGTGCACACACATGGGCACATCGGGAAGTGGTGACAGTGCCCCTGTGTCTGGCTTCGCCCCTCCAGTGTGCAGTGCGTGAGGCCCTGGCGGGGGAGCCCAATGGCCATGTGCCTGCCCTGGCCGGGGCCGGGTGCCCAGTGTGCCCCTGCCGGGCGGGCCGCAGACACTCCCATGCGCATCCCCTGAGGGGGCAGGCTGTGTCTCGGTGCGTGGGCGCAGTGCCGCGAGACTGTTTCCAGAGTTTCACGTGCCTGTCTGTTTCCGCCCTCGCCAGCCCTGGTGCAGACTCACCGGGGAACTGTGGCCTTGAGTGTATTTTTCATGCCCCGTGGTCATTTGTGAAGTAACTTTTCGCAACTCCTGTCCACTTTCTGCGCTGACTTGCTCTGTTCTTGCTGTGCATGCCTGCCGCCCCCAGCCTGCCTCCACTCCTCTCCGTGTCCCCCAGCCTGCCCCAGAGGCCTGTCCTGGGTTCTGTCATTTTTTTTTGCTCTCTCTCTTATCTTCCCAATGTCAAAGTCTGTTTTGGCTCTACTCTGGCTTTTCTGTGCCCCCCACCTCCTGATTAGGAGTCATGGCATTGGCTTCCGCCAAACCTGGGCGTATTGCTTCTCCTATTGCTGGGGTCTCCCTGCCTGATCAGGAGCCCAGGCAGCGACGGGCAGCGGGCCCAGCTTGCCTCTCTCCTGGGTCCTGTCCTGCCCTCGGTCTCCAGCCTCAAGGGCTCGAGTGGGAAGTGCTCCCCAGGGCGCCTCTGGCAGAGCCATGCGTGTCCTTTCCTGCTGAAGCTGCCCCCACTCCCTCAGGCCCCCTGCAGGTCTCCCCACCCCCAAGCCCTCACTCCCATTCTCTGGGCAGCTGAGGAATGGGATTTGGTCTGAGAGGCGGTGGAGTGGATGGTCAAGATGCAGAGGTTAGTGGGCTTTCTGGGTGGGGGCCTGAGGGGTGACCTGTGGGCCCCTGGCGGCTCGGGAAGGTGCAGTCCACGGGAGCGCGGCCCTGTGGAGGCCAGGTCACACCTGAGGCCAGGACCCAGAGCCGGAAGGCATCCCGAGGCGCCCCAA